CCTGAATGATCTTCTGTGTGTGTGTGTGTGTGTGTGTGTGTGTGTGTGTGTGTGTGTGTGTGTGTGTGTGTGTGTGTGTGTGTGTGTTTTATGGGGCGGGGGGTTAATGTCATAGCTAATCTTCTGACGTCCCCCAAAGCATGTCCCCCCCCCTGAGAGACGCTGTTTTGACAATGGGACACTTGTGTCACTGTCACCCCGAGGGGCATCTGGAGGGATGGGGGGGGGCGCTACTCTAACATGATGACTGTCCGGGACATGCGGCCTCAGATGTGCAGTCTTACAGAACAAAATACATTTTAATAATAGGTCAAATGGTGTACGAATTCAACACAAAACACAGAGGAAGTACTGATAAAGAACAGAGATTAATGCAGCTTTGAGGAAGTTCCCTGTGAGAGTTTCCATCAAATAACCAGCCAAGTTCACCAACAACATGTTTGTCTCTGCTTGACTGCATCTGATGTGAGTGCACTTTGGCACACTAGATGGCATTAGAGTGTTTCTCGGTTTAAAAGAAAGCCAGTAAAGCTAGTGTATGACATTTTCATATTTGCTCGTCACCATCTCCTTAAAAAGTGCATACGATAACCAATCAGAGCAGGAGTCTCTAGCAGCACACATGATTTAAAATAATTGTACTGCGTTGACTATTTCTCTCCTCAAATGTTTTTAGAAGTCGCTGTAAAACTAGAATGGTTGCTCTGTGGTCTGTTTTCAACATGGCATCACAAACTTTGTTCATTCCAAAGCTTAAAAGTAAAGTATGTTAAATATGTTGCTGAGAACATTTGAGACTAAAAAAGGGAAAGCAGTTGGATCTTGAAGAATGGCACAACAGGAGGGAAGCTGTTACTACTGTAATACTAGCAATAACAGCTTAATGTAATATAGCGTAATGACAGTAGCACATCGTTATAATGCGTGGGTGTTTTTCTGATTGTACACTGCACCCTCACAATTAACACTTTCAATACTCTTTAAACAATATGTCCAACACTGTGATTCTGACAAAGTATTATAAAACAAAATGTCTTCTTGCATTTTAAAACTAAAACACACTGTAAAAGTTGTGTATGTATAAATGTAACATATTCTTTGCACAATTTATAATAAAGATATGTTTAAAAAAAAAAAATCCTATGTTTAAAATGTGCAAAAGAGGCATTATGTATTGTCATTTTTGACCCACAAATAGACAATTTAAACTCCTGAATGTGGATTTTTATATATTTGATTGTTATTATTCCTGTTCTCTCTGTACAGAACTGCCCTGCAGATTTTCCACATATTTAATGAGTTTTGTGTCTCTAAATAAAGTGAATAAATAAAAATAAAGGTAAAGACAGTTTGTGACTTGGTCCACTCACGCACCTCCACATGTCCCCACATACATAATCCCTTTGTACATGGTTCGACACTCCCCCTGCACTCTCACCGCTCTCGCTCGCTCACCTTCGTATTCTCCTCCCCCCCCCCTCACCTCCGCCCCCGCCGCACTAATTCCCCCCCCCCCCCCCCCCCTACCTACACGCCAGCCAGAAAACTTCTCTCTCTCCACTCTCCCGTCTAACTGTGACAACCGACATCGCGATCTAACAGACTCGACAATAGACATTCTGTTCTCCTCTCACTGCGCTCACCACCACGCCGCCGCGCGCCCACCTACTCTCCTCAGCTACGTCCTCGCGCACACGCTTTCGACATTATTTTCTTTCTCTCCTCTCCATCACTGCCCAGTCCTTCTCCAATGTCGACACGAATGGGACACTGGCTAGACCACCGTCCGAAGAGAACAAAGTACACAAACGACAAGTCACAACAGGGACCCAAACCGCCCCCACCAGCACTTGACGGTCCTCAAACTTCGACCCCAAATTGAACAGTCACGTTCCATAACAATTTCGTCTTGTTCGGAATGTCGTACATGCGGGTTTCGTTCGCATACAAACAGCCATTTACCCTGTAAGAGTTTTCCCCGATCAGTCGTCTACACCGACTACATGAAGCATTGGTCAAGGTGCTTACACCCTAAACCCATCTTTGTACACTCTCTCCCCACACCAACCTCACACTACACTTTTCCGATCAATCTCACACACTCCTCGCGTATATCTATTTACATTCCTTAGTTAGTAAAAAAATGTCTTTATAGGCGGTGTCATTTACACGGTAAAAATTCACAAAATATTGTTAGTTGTTAGGTCTACCTGGTATATTGTCTCTACCTAATGATCCACACATTATCATTATTATTATGGTACACTGAACATATCGCGCACAAAGCTCCTTTCGAGTTTATGCGCAACGCTGTCCCTTAATGTTTTTTTGTGACCCGTTGTTTTTTTTGTTTGTTCTTTATGTTTTTCTCTATTTGTTTTATCTTTTATCCCCCACTCAGTACACAAACTTAACGTCACAACTTCTGTCCCCCACCCAACACACCGCCCTCACCCCTCACAACAACCTCCCTACGACCAACTCCCCTCTTCTTGTAAGACTGAAATACAAATAGTGGAAAAAAGAATTAGTTTTCTTTTGGTGTCATCCGATCGGATTACACACAATAAACCCCACCATTGTCACGCTTAACATGACAAAAACGCGCGTGAAACGGGTCTCAGTCTAAGACTCTCTACGGACCCTGTCTATAAATATTACCGTAATCCCACATCAGACTTCAATTCAGGTTCGTCGTCTATAATCCGATCAGACGAGTTTAACGTCAAAAGATAACCTCGTTTATTGTATTCAGTACTGGGGTATGCCCCTGTGGGTCTACTTAACACCCTTAATTCGCTCTATTTTGAGCTCCCCCCACTTCCACACGAGAAGGGTCGATAACAGACTCCTCCGGTGTCAGAGTCTGAGAACTTTTTCTGACGACATCATTACTCAGTACAACTGCGTCGAAACGTTTACAGTGTCAGATTTTTTTTTTCGTATCTGAGATGTGCACTAATTTTGAGGTCGGTCGATCCTCGAGACAATCGCTAGATAAACAAGTGTCACACACNNGAGGGGGAGGGAGGGAGGGAGGGAGGGGAAAAGGGAAGAAACAGCTTGTGTAGAACCAGAAGGGTCACAGCATCTTGAGTCTTTGCCCAGTCTGTGAAAATGCCTGAATACATTAATATATACATAAATAAACCTTTTTCTTTTTTCATTTGATGACCAGCTTTTCCATAAAAATAAACTGCTTTATGGTTTAACTGTGAAAAATATTTCAGCAAGTGTTTTAAGAACGTCTGAATAACAAATATTGTTGCTGTTGCAGTCCAGATGTGCAGGGGTGTGTCTACAGCATCTAACCCTTTTATAAACATATACTGTATATAGATACGTATACATACAAACGTATGTATATAATGTATATGTTATACTTCCCATATAACACTTTTGCTTTGAATCAGTGCAAGATAAGTAGATTTTTTGTTATAATTACACATACTCACGAATATAGAGGATTTAACGCTTAATCCTACTTGCCCTTTCGTAAATAGCAGAACTTGTTTTGCCAGAAGACTTCTTGAAAGCTCTCTTTAGTAAATTAGAGTTGTGTCGAATTAAGCCGTCCGCGTCACAAGGATAAAATGATAGATTATGCGGGGGCACATCTAATCGCAGTATTGCTCATAGACAAAAACTCAAAACATGCCCCAAAAAAAACATTTCTAATAAAATGAAAGGTTTGCTTCATTGTAGGACACATTCCTTTCACCTACTTATAATATCATACTGACACAGATAATGGAGATTGGATTTTTGACACGGACTGGTGCTCTATATCATAGATAATCGCTAATGGAGACCTGCATACTAGCATACAGAAGCAGTGATGCAGCAGTAGGTAAACAGAGACGGATCATCCATCCTGCTTTCTCTTCATTTCTCATCCTAGATTCCTCTTCCTCCTCTTCCCCCACCCATCTCTGTTTCTTTTGCCCTGTCCCTCAGCATGGTTAGTCAATAATAAGCATCAGAATTTCTGTCTGTCTGATACAATTCCTGTAAGGATTTCCAGGAGCACAGGTGCGGTCTGGCTCTCGGGCTCTCTGGCTCTATCTGTATGGAAATTGGCCGTTCCCCGGGGACGCAGCGGGGTCACACCAGTAGCCTACTACTGCAGCACACGTAAGGACATACCGAGGCTCAGCTGGTGGTGGGGATGCCCGTGTGTGTATATCCACAGAAAGAGACAATAAGACGTTTCTGTTGACTGGAAGCAGCAGCTGAAAGCGGTTTCAAATCTGTCGAATCAATTTTAGGTGATATTTCACAGCTGAAGCTTGTGACATTTGAGTATGAATAAACATGTAGTCCATAGGACACAAGAAATAGTCAAAATAAATGCAATTACAATTTCCCAAGCCCAACAACGCTAAAAAGATTTTGACAAAATAACAGTCCAAAACCCCAATAAATTAAACTTAAAGTGATATATATAAGAGAAAAGCAGTATATTTAGAAGCTGAAATCAGAGATTTCCAGAAATTCGTGTTTGATAAATTCGTTTTTTCGTTTTTTTTAGGAGTTAAAGATCAATTGTTTTCAATTATTAAAAACCATTAATCAAGTGGCTATTTGTCTTCTACTAATACTTCTTTGTTACTATAGATGCGAGCCTCTTGACTAATAATATAACATGCATTAGTGTTTCTGTGACATTCATAGAGAGATACACAAAACAATTCTAATGTATAATGACACAAACATGGTAACACAAACGTACAAGTTCTC